GCCCTGGGCTGGGGGCCTGCTGTGGGGCTGGGACCCCTCCCTCCTCCAGGAAACCCCCACCGCCAAGATTCCCTCCCGGGTTTAACCCGAGNGCTGGGACCCCTCCCTCCTCCAGGAAACCCCCACCGCCAAGATTCCCTCCAGGGTTTAACCCGCAGCACCGGGTGTGGGCCCGCGGCCACGTCTCTGGGATTCAGCCCCGATCCGCCCGCGTCTCCACCCCTCCTCCTCGTCTCGGTGCTTCTTCAGCTCCCTGGTTGTGGGGCTTCTGTGCAGCCAGATCTCAGGAGGCTCTGAGTGACGGTGGTTCTGTATTTTAGTTGTAATTTTGATGTGGTTGCGGGAGGCGGCGGGTGCAGCTGTTACCTACGCCGCAGTCTTGTTTCCTCTCTAAGAAACGACCTTAGGAAGAAAACTACACTTAGAACTAATTTAGAAATGCACCACATATTCAATAGCATTTTTTTATTTATTTCAAAAATCAGTACAAGTATGTGATTAGTGATACGTATGCATATAAACCATAAATAATATCCACTTTGATTAAGTAGCTTTATTTATATAAGCAGGCAAGCTTATTAACGTAGTTCTCTGTGCTAGCTGGTTTGGCTCAGTGGTTAGAGCATCAGCCCGTGGACTGAAAGGTCAGAGGTTCGATTCCAGCCAGGGCACATACCTCAGTTGCAGGCTCGATCCCTGGCCCTGGTCAGGGCACATGCAGGAGGCAACCCATCGATGTGTCTGTCTGTCTCTCTCTCTCTCTTTCTCTCTCTACCCCCTTCCACTCTCTCTGAAAAGCAACGGAAAATATCCTCCATTGAGGATTAAAAACAAAACAAAAAACAAAAACATAGTTCTCTGACTGGTTTTGCATATGCATTTGTATTCATGTATTTTGCACATGTATACATTCAAACTATATAAATTTGCGTACCGTCCATTTGTCGCAGTTGCCTTTTTGTGCAGATAATTTGATTCCCCCTGTTTGAAAAACTGACAAATATTATATGTCTTAAAGATTACTACTGAGGGCTAAGTAAGAACATGTCATTCATTGTTTGGTACTCTAGCAAACATGACATTCTCAGAAAAGCTGGAGCACAGTTTCTAACTGTCATTTCATATTTTCTATTTGAAAGGTAAATAAGATTTGTGGTCATCCGATCAGAACACCCACAGAAAGCCCCCGTTGTTCTCTGGATGGCAGTAGAGAGAAGCTGAGAATGAAGATCTCTACGAGAAATGGTGAAGAGACTCTTGCCAGCAGAAGAAAGTAAGACATTTGTTTTACAACCAGAAAGAGAAAAGAAAGTAAGCCATTAATTTTACAACAGAATAGAATGTATTCAATGAAGTAGGACAGAATACACTATTGAAGAAACAAAAGATAAACATTAATTACCTTTAAAATTCAGTGATTCCTTCTTATTCCATTAATTAGGATGATAGCTCCAACTTTTGAGGTCAATAAAGCTTTCTGAGAAAGGAACATTTTCTTTAATACAATATGGCAGGCCCTAGGCACACGTGGTCATTGTGCACTTAAATGTTGCTCAGCAGATCTCCAGGACTTACTCGTCTTGCTTAACTGAAACTTTATGCCCATTGATTGGTAACTCCCCATTTCCTCCTGCCTGTGGTCAACAATACTGTAATGCACACTAATAAATTTTGTTAATAAGGTATATCTCATGGTAAGTGTTCTTATCACAATAAATAAAAATTTTAAAATGTAGCTAGTGTGACTGATTGAATTTTTAATTTAATTTTAATTAACATTGGTCTAAATTCCATGTAGCTAGTAGCTACTGTATAAGGACAATGTAAGACCAAAGGATTATACATGTAAATGATGTGATGAATATTACTAGGGGTTAAGAGTCTGTTTGTTTGTTTTTTTAAAGGTTGATATAAAGAAGTTTTCATATCTTTTATCTGGAATGATAAAAATGGTTATCTGTTGATTCAAAATGATTCCACATTGAGTGGCTTGCTTTTCTAACTCACATTTCTACCACTATGCCCATTGTTATTTCACATGTTAAATTAAAGCCTTCATTACTATCCCTTTGCTTAATGATTGGCAGTTACTGAAAAACCCTTAAAAATGGAGGAAACTATTATTATTATTTTGCTGTTGTTGTTCAGTTGACCAGTGTATGCCCTGGATAATGCTAGATTTCAGTGCATGTTTTGAATTGAACTGAAATTCACAGTTTTATATTCAATTATTAATTCAAATAATTATTTCTAACAATACCTTATGGAGAATTCAATATTTTACATAGCTTTTCTCTGTAATGAAAAAGTGTTTCTTTCTTTTTGGAAGGGTACTCCTAACAGCTTTATTCTCTCCTCAGGTGGGCTATAAGCAGGGGATAAAGATCTGGACTATTTATTGCTGGATATTTGCTACAGCATAAAAGAATTAGCATTTTACATGCAAAGTAGCTGTTCTTTTTCTCTCTAAACATCTATAGTGATCAGCAATCATGTCTTGTCTTTGAGAAATTAGTATACTTTGGACGATTTTTTTTTTGGTAATAAAATCCAGCTTAAAGGTCATGGTTTCACCACCAAAATAGCCCAATTATTGGAAAACCAAAACAAAGCCCAACACTAGCAAAACTAAGCCAATGCAGGTGAAATGTTACAAAATGTCTCACGAACAAGGAGGGGCTCATATGAGTGGAAAGTTTTATAAGTATCTATCCTGGCCATTAAATAGACCACCTTGTCACCAGTCTTGCAAACTCATTATTTCTATGCCCTTGACCAGCCAGCCACCATTAGCCATTGCCCATAAATCAGGGTAGATCTATCACAGGACAGTCTCATGTAGCACAAAGTGAGCAACCAGACATACTTCAAATGAGCCCACTTAAATATTTCATTTTTACAGATTTTTTTACTGCCACTCCTGTATGGAGCTTAATTGTTGTGGTAGTATATTTTTGCTTGATGCCTAACAATTGTGCAGACCTATCCATAAACTAAACCTGAATTTTATTTATCCTTCATCAGCTGATCATTCTATATGGGGTCATAAATTTCAATTGCAGTAGGTGGGAAAATGTAGAAGGAATAAGTGCTACTGAGTCTGGGCTTCTTTCCATGTATCTTGTGATTTTCTCACCTGCTAAGCCTGATTTCCAATAGATCACTTCCACTTAATGATATATTGCTTCTATACAAACCTGATCTTATAGCATGGCAGACCATTTAGCATTTAGGTTGTAGAGTTACTTGCTAGCTCATGGTCTAATGTATAGTTTCTGTCAGCACTCCATTGCAAACCAACCTACCAACCAACCAAAGAAACAAAACAGTTTTTAGCAAAACTGTTGCTCCAAAACCCTGGATATCTATGTTGAATATTCACATGGGGCTTCCCGGTATTTCAGTAGAGCATCTTTATTACTTCAGGCACCATTGAGTGGACAAGCTGGGTCATCTGGGCTAAATGTCTGTCAGAGCAGCTTCAAAAATCAAGCTACAGACTTTTTCATACAAGAGCTCTTTGGTGCTACTTTATACATGGGTTAGATCATCACACCCAATGCAAAGGGACCCAAAATGCACTGTGCCTCCTCCTGAGTGCTGGGTCATCTTAAGTGTAGAAGTTTGCCTTTTACCTCAGAAGAATATCCCAATAAGGTTCAGACTGCTAGACATTTAGAAACCCTGTTGAATTGTCAAGCGCTGGAAATGTCAATATTTTTCCCACCAGAGGCATGGACATGTCTACTCAGGCATCTCGGATAATGTGTTCAGTATGTTATCAGCATGGTGTCTATAGGATATTCAGATGGTCAAGGCTCCTGTCTCTCATGGAGTGGGAGAACTGCCCTGAGGTCTAACAGTGAAGGGCTTCTTGACAGCTCAAAGTGAAATATTTCTAGTTGTCTTTACATATTGGTAAAGAGATAAAAAGCATTTGCCAAATTATTAGCTAGATAGCAGATGGCAGGACATGTTTCAAATAACTCTAGACGACACTATATACAAAGGAGAATGTAATTGGAGTCACCCTCTGGCTCCGTTTATGATAATGCAACCGTTCTCCAAGTCTGCCTCAGTGTACACAAACAGGCAAACAAGTAAGACGAATGAAGAGGTGTTAAGATCACCACGGCGCTGCATTTTTCATGTCTTTGATAATGGCCTTAATCTTAGTAACTCCCCATGGATATGATATTTTCTTTTGTTTTACTAATATTACTTTTGCTTTGAAGAATTCTGTAAAATCTATAAGCTTCTTTATATACTCTTGTTTTTCAAAATTCTCTTAGATATTCTCAGAATTTATATTTAAAATATATTTAACAATCTTTTTCTTGAATTTTGATTGGCGTTATATTGAATAAAGAGACTGATTTGAATGAAGATGTTTATCATGCTATAGGTTGCTACTTTTCTGAACTCAGTTCTAATGGTCTGTGGATAGGATTGGAATTTCTACATTGATCATATGCTATAGCTTGCAATTTTCCTAAACTCCATGAAAAAAAAGAAAGTTGGCCAGCTTTGGTTTTAGTGAAAGGGTCTCACCACAGCCCAGAAATGCCCTTGATGTAGACAGCTGTGTTAATGAACACCTTGGTTTGAATGCCCCTATAAACGACACCCTCCTATGAGCTTCTGGACTTGCACACAATGTCATCTCTGGTTCCTTGGGCAGTGATGTGTGCAACACCTGTTCCAGGAATGCTTATTTGAGGTGGAGTTCAAGTTTCAGGGCAGAAATGCTGTCTTCCCTATCCTGGACTCATTTATGTCAGGGCAGGAGGCTACAGGTGCTCATGTCATGAAGCTGCAGGTCCTGCCATTCTTGGTGTGGCTGCTCTGCGATGTGCTGGAAAGCTTCCGTTTGTCCCAGTCACCTCCCAGCCTTCCCTGTGCTGTCTACCCCAGCAGGCTGCCTGCATGGACCTCTAGCTGAATTTGGCTAATAGGGAACATTAGCAGGAGATACTAGCTCATGACAGCCAATCATACTCAATTTTTCAACACTTTTTTGGCCATTTTATATGCTAATTATAGATAATTTTTTATTATAGTTTATAGTAGATATAATGATTATCCAGATAAAGATAAAATATAATTTTTGAAGAAGAGTTGTTGACTTGCTGGAATTCCCTCCTATAACTTACTAATTTTAAAAAATGAAGTTTATTATTAAAAAAGTAGACAAGGACAATTTTCAATTGATCTATCCAAATCATTAACAAAACCACTGCTTTGTGCAATTTATAAAAAAGAAAAATTTAAAAAGTCCACATTTCCTGATTTACTTTTTATTAATTAGCATTATGTCCATGACAATTTTTCTTACGTTTTCTTTCTTTATTTTGAGTAATTCCCATGAGAATACTTATAGCAGAAACTACTTTCTATAAATTTAAACCAATTTTAAAAGATTTTTAAAAACTTACAGAACAAAATAATTTAACAGTTTCTATAGCTTAATATAATTGCTCTATTAATGAAAAAATAGAAATTGTAAATGGATCAGTGGAAAACCACTGTAAATAAAGATAATCACTATTCTATGTTTGCTAAAATTTTAAATACATTTTTACATATAAAAAAGCCTTAGTCTTTTAAAATTCTATTGTCATAGTTTAGATTTAGTTTCTTTAGTGGCATATCCTATACAATTTTTGTTTAAAATTATGTTAGATTTATGGCACCCTAACTTAAAAAAAATTAAGGTTTTGTCACAGAGTTAGAGTTCATTTTATTTCTATAGCTTTTCATTTCATTATTCAAACAATTCTCAAGGTTATGTTAATATAATCACTGTTGACTTATAATTTGACTAGCTGCTTTTTTCTAGTATTTTTATGTGATTATTAATCAGTTTTTGTTTTTTAATTGGAATGTTTTAGTTCATATTTTACAGTGATACATAGTATCTTGAAGTAGTTGAGTTGAAGGGCACAACCTTCTTGCTCTTTGTTTCTCTTTACTCCATTTTTTATTGTTTGTTCTTTCTTGCCTTCTTTTGAGTTTAACAGGTATTTATTATCCTTTTTATCCTCAGAGCTTTTCAAATTTGTGTTTATTATTTTTTCATGGTTATCATAGAGATCACAATATGCATTTTTAGTTTTACCATCTACTTTAAATTAGAACTTTTACCACTTCATTGAACAATGTAAGAATCTTAAAATAGTTTCACTCCATTGCTCTCTTCCTATCTTTTGTGCTATTTTTTTCAACAATTGTCTTACTTCAACCAACATTTTAACAACTCCAAAGACATTGTTA